TGGTTTATCCATACGTGTTGGGAAATCTCTTAGCTGAAATATTCCCTTTCTTTTCAATGAAGGAAGTGACAATACAGCATTTGTCTGAGGCTTTTCTAAATCTCTTTTTTGCCCTCTTTCTTCCTGCTAAACTGGTAGAACTTTTGCATGTAGTCATGCCTGAAAGGTTGTCTGTCGATTTCCTTAGCTCAGCAGAGAGACAGCTCAAAGATTTGTTTAGCCAAGCAGCACAGAAGCTGACAGAAAGCTGCACCTACATGGATTCAGGAGGGGAGGAACAGGAGCTCTGCCTCTGCCGGCCAGCAGCCAAGGGGCTGTTTGACAGGGTGTCCATAGCCAGGAGTGCTGTGTCTGCTCTGGGTTACATCAAACGTGGCCATTTCACTGCTGCCTCCTCAGCACCGACCCCTTTGTTCCTGCAACCTCTTTGTCTTGTTAGCTGCTGAAGTCCTAATCTCCACCAAGCAGCTTTCTGTCACTGAATGTTTGTGCAGTGTCCAGCACAGTGGGGTCTTGAGCCTGCCTTGAAATATCTCCATTCTGCTGTTGCTGGAACAGCAGTAATGTCAAAGATAAGCTTCTCTCTGGGCTAAGAGTTTATCAAATGTTCTTGGTTGGGGGAGAAAGTCCACAGGAAAACCAGCATTGAATGGAAAATCCCAGCAGCCAGTCTCCATTAACAACACTTCTTGAAATGTTTCAGCTCCCTCTTGGCAATGAACCTAATTCTGGCTTACAGTTCTTTACACATATTGACTTTGCAGATTGTGCTGTGTACACAAGTATCTGTTGAGATTGAGACATCTCGTGTGAAATTGTGTATCTTCTGCAATTAACATCTTTTTTTCTCCATTGCAGTCGTGTTTGATGTGTACAGAGACAGCAGGGTAAGTGAACAATGGGCTCTGTATAACTGTTGATTCTGTGAAAACCCTGAAATGCTAGAGACAGCAAGGAAGTAATAGCTCTGTCTTAGAACTGCTTCTGGGAAAAAAGGAAAAGAAAGAAAGAACAAACCCAACCAACCAAAAAAACCCAAACCCAAACAGGCCCCCAAACCTACTTGATGTTGTTCTGTTCCCCAGGTCTGTTTTTGTTAGACACTGCCTAGAGCAGGGGTGTAAATATGTCTGTGCCAGTGATGTGATCGTTTAGTTAAGATCTGCCAGAGGAGTTGTCTGTCCCACATCACAGGACTTTGGCTTCAGCTGCCATTCTGCCAGGTCTGTTGTCTACTGAAGGCGACTTAGTTTTCATTATGACACGGAGAGTCTTTGCTGCAGTCACAGACTATTTCAGTTGGAATGAGCACCTAGTCCAGCTGCCTGATCAGTTCAGGGCTGACCAGAAGCTAGTTATTCTGGACACTGCTCTCAGGCACAGGGTGTGATTTTGGGGTGTCCTGTGCAGGGCCAGGAGTTGGACTTAATGATCCTTATGGGTCCCTTACATAGCATGGCTGTGAGTAAGGACATTGTCCAAATGTCTCTTAAACACAAGCAGGTTTGAGGCTTTTTCTTTAAAGACAGGTAGTTACTTGGGCTTAGTTGTTTTACCCCATGTGTTGTTTGTCCCTATAGCATCTGAACTCATTGACACTAACCATTAAAAATAGTTCTCCAGATTATCCACGTGAGGCTGAAAAACGGTAACTTGTCCTTCAGGTGTGGCAGCCTGGGATTTGAAGGGCTAATTGCCATAGGAGCCTATGAATGTGGTGACAGGTTGTGAGAGATGGAAGGTGATGTTTTCTTCTCAGGCTGCTCCAGCTGTGGTTCTGGGTGCTGGGCAGATCAGAGCCCTGAACATCAGACAGCGATGGAGTTGGGAAGAAATGTCCTCTCAAATACACACAAGACATGTCGATATGGTGCTTAGGGATGTGGTTTAGCAGTGAACACTGTGGTGTGGATTAAGGGTTGGACTTGATGATCTTAAAGGCCTTTTCTACTTTAAACAATTCTATGAACCTCAGGTTCCAATGTCAGAATTTAGGCATCTGGACTTCTCCTGGGGTCAGCAGAGAGAAACACTTGGTCAGGTGAACTGTGCTTGAAAGGCTCACGTGTTGTTCTGGAAGCAACCACAACCCAAAATGCATTACCTTGCCTTAAATCTGAAGACCCGATTTAGGCAATCACAGCCTGGTTTTGAGTCACATTAGTGCATGAAAACTAAGTATTTTTGCATATTTTCCCAGCCTTAAACTAGAAATGCAGAGACAATGGCTGTGTCCTTTTGCTGCATACGTTGGAGTGCCACTGTTTGGCTGGTTTACAGTTAGGGGATTGCAGAAGGTCTCTGAGTGGGGAGTGTTGGTAGTAAGTCCTGATTCTGGCTTTGAATGTTGCTAATCTGTTTGGTGATCGTGTAACAGTAAATCATGCCATAATTTACAAAACAGGAACTAAAGAGGAACGTGTCTCATGTGGAAAACAACTACCTTGCTGTTCTCAGCACAGCTTGTGACGCTGGTGACTAGAACCAGGCCTTGAAATTCCATGCCTGGAATTACCTGTCCAGGCTCAGATCCTGAGCCCTGAGGGGTTGTCAGGGAAGATGAGGAGCAGCACTTCAGCACTGAACCACGTTCTGCTTTGGGTACTCTGCCTTATAGCTGAGCAGAGAAGACAGATTGTTTCAGTAGAAGGTTTGAGCCTGTGGGATCTCAAATGAGCAGCATTTCTTCATATGTCAAGATAAAATATATCTGTTTCTAGCTGTCTCTTGGTGCCTTCTACTCTCGGGTCTTGTAAACTGCCAGATAGCCCTTTGTGTGTCAGATACTCCTCTTTTCACACATACTTTTGTGGTTAGCAACTGTATTATTCATCACTCCCTTTGTGTGTGAGTTACAGGCAGCAAAAGAATATTGAGTGTTGCTGAGAGTGATTAATTTCCAGAGCCCATGCTCTTCATCAGGCTGGTTGCACAGCAACCTCACCTACAGAAGGAGAGACATGTCCACTGTCTGCTTGCTTTAAATCCTTTCGGCTGTATATTCAGCTTGGAGGAGCAGCTTGCTGTTTGGTGTGCTGTGGTGAGAGCTTCCCCCCCGTGCCCCCCGGGTCTCTGGTGGGGCTGTACAGAGCTGGAGGGCACAGGTCCTGCTCCTGGCCTTGGAGGGTGCTACAAGAGGTGGCAAAGCCTCAGGGACAGCTCTGCTGTGGCTCTTTGCTGTCCACCAGGTGTGAACACCCCACCGTGTTTGAGACAAGTCCCTGTGGCGAGACAGAGGTGCAGTGGGTGGTCCCAGGGCACTGCTAGATCTCAGTGGCTCTCGTGTCTCTGCCTGGTGAGTGCTGTCACAGTGCATGAAGGTGCAGCTGGAGTCAGGGGAGATGGAACAGTTCGGTTTGCAGTTTACCTCTCTTGAGCTTCCTTCAAGCAGTCTTTGTCACAGGCCCTTCCTTTCAGCATGTGCTGCTGAAGGCTCTTGTAAAACAAAGCCTGAAGCTGACATGGTGTGGTGAATCTACTGGCTCCCTCTTTGAGGATGAGAAAAAAGCCACCTTGTAATACAAGTTGGGGTATGTAGAACTTTGCTTTCCTGGCTCATGCATTTCTGTGCTCTCACATGGCAAAGATTACTAAGAGCAGGCAGGAGATGGCAGAGAAATTGCTTTACTGCTGCTCTTTAGATGCACAGTGCAAGTCTCTTGGAGCTACCTGTAAATCATGGCATTGCATGTAAGACTTGAAAGAGAGTTTAATCTTAAGAAAAGACAGTTTGGTTACTGAGCCAGAGTTATATACACTCCCTTGAATGAGTTTAGTTTGCCACTTCTCATCCATTTGCAGCTCCCACAGCTGAGTGCAGCTTTGACCCTCCCAGGGGAACAGCTGTGGTGGGTGGTGCACTGCTGGGAGCTCACACAAAGCATCTCACCTTCAGGAGTCACAGCACCAGTTTTCAGGTTTTCCCAGGGTACATTTCTGTAGCAAAATGATCTTATGTTCCCGTGAAAAAGCTGAGTTTGCTGTATTTGGGGTGAAGAGGAATCTCTGTGAAAGCCTTTCGTAGGACAGGATTAATGTAAACATTTCTGATGCCAGGATTGTCTGAACTGCTGAACAAACTTTGCCAGCCACTGCTTCTGCCTGTGATTAAATTGCTTCGTTAGCTTGTTATTCTGGTGGGTACAATGAATCTGAAATCACAGATTCCTCTTCCTGCTGCCTTGGAGTGAGCAAGACATCCTCATTAGCCAAAGGGAAACATAGCTTGTAATGAGCACTTGTGCCTGCCCTGTGGAGAGGGCCAGGGGTGGGAGGTGACAGCAGAGCTCGCCCTGTTGGCTCTCTGCACGGATGGTGACAGGATTGGTGCAGAGATGTTGCAGATTTGGGTTTCTTCACCCTTCCAAAACAAGTAAGAAACCGCTCGGCTCTGTGTCTCTGCTGTGGATAGGAACAGCAGCCAGAGCCTTTCTGCTCCCCCAGGCATGGGTTTCCTTGTGCTTCCTGTGCCATAGTGTGCTAGAGCCTGTGGGATGGCTCGGGTGCTGTGGGTGGGAGAGGCTGGAGCCTTCAAAAGCATCTCTGAGTTAGAAAACAGATGGCTGTAGTGTAAATCATTGAAGGTATTTGCTGTTTGTGTCAAGGCAGGGAAGATCTTTTAAAGAAAGAAGGTCCTTCGGGATTGAGGGAAAGCAAAATGAGTTTTAGTTGCTACAGAGTCCTCAGATTTGGTTTCCAGTTCCTGCTTATGTTTCTGCAGCCTTTTTCTGCCCATATCTGATAGATCTGATTCCTTCCAGGCGTAATACTTTGCAAATTCTCACTAGCAGCTGTAGCCACGTTTCGTTCTAGTTGGTTGGGATGCTTTGTTTGGTTGGAGTAGTTGTGTCGCGGTGCTGAGGGCTGTGTCTCGAGGTGACTCAAGGAGCACAGAGTGTTTCTCCCCACACACCCCTCTGGTACCTTTCCTTCGTGGTCCTGGTCCGTGCCCTTGTTCTGAGCTGTGGAGCAGCTGTGTGCTGTGCCCACTGCTGGGGCTGCTCGGGGCACACGTGTCCAGGGTGAGGCAGAGACTGGTCTGACCTGCTGGTAACGGCTGCCTCTGAGTTACTCTGTGTTTGCCTGTGTCTGTACAGCATTTCTGAGCTCTCAGGAGCTCTGCCACCATTTTGCAGACCCTGCTGTGTTTTCAGAGCCCTTTCTGGGACAGGAAGAGCAGTTCCTGGAGGCTGCTGGAGGCACAGCAGTGCTGGGGTGGCTCTTGATGGAAAGGGAGATCCCTGTTTGGTTGGTTTGGGTATTTCTCCTTGTTTGGTTGTGCTTTGGGGGTATTTTTGTGTTTTCTGTTTGGTGTCCTCCTCTATTCCTTGTTCATGCTGTCTGGGGACCTTGGAGGATGTTGGGATTAACAGAATTTGTATGTTCTCATCTGAAAGCTCCTGACATAGTGCTAAGTTCTGTTTATTCGAGCTCTGTATGACCTTCTGTTTAAAAAGAAATAAAGTCAATTAGTAAGTCAGAGCTTAAAACTGTAATGTAAAGGACGTTAGAACGTTGTAAGTGCTTAAAGCCAAGTGATTTCAATTTCCATCTAAAGACCAAGTATGCTACAGTGATGTAAGTGTATGTGTACTCTGACTTCTTATTTCTTGTGTTTTGTTTGAATCCTGTGGCTTATCCTAATTCTTCTGTTATCCTTTGCAGGGTAAGATTTGGCTAATAGACTTTAACCCATTTGGTGAAGTAACAGACTCTCTGCTCTTCACGTGGGAAGAACTGACCTCTGGGAAGAACCTGAAAGGGGACCAAGGTGAAGGGGAAGCGACTGAACAGGTACAGCCCCGAGGGGAGAGAGGCTGGAGAGCATTCTGCATCAATACTGGCCTTTTTTCTCTTCCCTTTGTTGTTATATCAAATGGTGATGCAAATCCCAGTGAAGTAAATGGAGGTCCTTAGCTCAGAAGCTTTGTAAATTGGATCTACTTTATCAGATAGCAGCTAATCTCAGCAAGGATCACATTGTAGCGTTAGGTGCCTGCAAGGGAGTTGTTAGTTCCAACAGTGCAAGCTCACTGCAGCCTTCCCCCCGAGGCAAAGCAGATGCCCTGTACCTTGTTTTCACACGGCTTTGATGTGCTCCTTCCAGTTTTCCTGAAAATCATTTTCTTTTCTATAGAATCACTTACACTTCTGCTTTGCTCCAGATTTCCGTCATACAGTTTAGCACATCTCCAGCTTTATGTTTGGAGGGACTCAAGAAGCAGCTTCCCCTGGGTCTCCCCATCTCACATGCCCTCAGGGAAGCCTTGCCCCGTGGTTGCGCTCCAGGCACTTGCAGTGCAGGGCTTTCCCCTCCTCTTCCAAGCAGCTTTGCCTTGTGAAAACGAACAACTTCCCCTTAATAGAGAGAGGGAGGAACAGTCTCCACTTTTTGCATTCCAGCGTTTTGTCTCGCTGCACTTGAGACAGAGTCCTCACATCTCGGTGAGTCCCTGGACAGCAGACACAGTGGTGTGTTCCTGGATCTTGGGAAGCACCAGGTACCTGTGTGAGGAGAGCTGGCTGCTCAGCTCAGTGGGCTTCTCTTTGTTTTCTAGCTGTTAATCTGCAGGAGAGGTGGCTGAGATGACATGCTGCACTGAGCTGACCCTGACCTTTGCTCAGGGCTGTGGCTGTTTCCCTGGCACTGACAGGGAACCACCAGGGCAGGTCCTGACTCAGACCCTTTTCTCTCAGCATCACCGTGAGGCTGTTGCTGTGTGACAGCCCAGTCCATGAACCTTCCTGTTGTCAGCCATGTCTCCTCTGTTAAAACACACTCCCAGTTCCTGAGCTGTCCATGGGACACGTGGATTATTTTTTTTTGGCATTTCTTTTTCTCAGTGCCAGAGGCTTCACACAGTTGTCTTTGGCGTAAGCCTGAACGGAAAGGAGAGCGACTGGTTTCCATGCTGCAGCTGCCATCCAGTCACAGAGACTGGTGTGAAGTTACTTTTCCTCTCTCTTCAAAATGCCCCAACCCTGGCAATGTTCACAGCCAGGTTGGATGAGCCTTGAGCAACCTGCTCTGGTGGGAGGTGTCCCTGCCCAGGGCAGGGCTTGGGGCTGGGTGAGCTCTAAGCTCCATCCCTACCCCTGAAATTCTGTGATCTCATGAAGATGAACAAGTGTACCCACTGTGCAGTGAGCAGTTGTGTTGCACGGCAATGTGTTGGACTGAAAATTATATACTTACCCAAAACCTGCTGCTACAGTTGACTGTTTAGAGATATTTTTTAGCTCTTTCACAGAGGTGTTTTTTGATTCAGTAAGTAAATCTGTTGGAAAGCTCAGGTCGTAACTCAGTAAGTTATAGTTGCAAATGTGTTTAAACAAGGAAACTGTGAAGCGACGTTTAGGGATTCTGTCATAAAGACCTTCTCTCGCATGGTTATGTAGATACTATTTCGACAAGTTCCTTGTTCTCCATGAATACAGCACTGCTCTCAGCATATGTGTATTAAATGCATGGGTAACTGAGGGGTTGAGAGCTGTTCCTTGGCTGCTGGTGACATTTTAAATTGCCCTAAGTGGGCAGAGGTTTTGAGAAGAAAAGTACACGTTTCAGAAAGCACAAGTTTGATTGGGTGAATGCCAGATAAACTCACTGCAGCGTGACTCAGTCTCACGGGGGAGTAAGGAACAGTTCTGGCTCCACTCACCTCCACTGCTGTGTCTCCCCCATCTCTCCCAAGGACTGCCCAGTTTTCCGCTGCACGACCAGCGAGGTGACCGTCCAGCCCAGCCCATACCTGAGCTACAGACTGCCAAAGGACTTCGTGGACCTTTCCACGGGGGAGGATGTTCACAAGCTGATTGACTTTCTTAAGCTGGTAAGAAGTAGCTGAAAACATTTCTGACCTTCCACCTTTGTCAAAGTCCCTGGAGTGGAGCTTTGTAACTAGCACAGGTCACATGATTACGAGACAGAAACGTCCATCACACGATGTATTGTTGTGTCAATTGTTCTTGGAGTGATGAAGAGCAAACTCCCATCCTGGTCCCACTTTGGTTAAGTCATTTTGTCTCTATGGGAAGCAGTGAATATGTTGGACAAACCTTACTGAAGGACTGAACTGTTTTCTCTCCTGCCTAAGTGTAAATACAAATGGAAAAGCACTTGTTGAATGGCTGGAGCTAATGCTCTTAAGAACTAATAGGTATATGAGGAAAAACCCTTAAGCAGTTGTTCCTGTTTCTATGCACTTCCCTTGTCCTTTTGATGAGGAGTGACATGGAAACACCACTGTGAGGTGTGGGGGAGGGCAGGTTACCTGCATGCTAATCACTGATCTTGCCACCACCATCGTGTTTGCTGGTTCTTGTGTATTCTGTTAGCTAATGCACAGGGCACATCTTGTTTTCTACTGGGCATCAAACCCTGTAGTTTGGGATGGGGCACAGGGTTCATATCAACTCTGTTCCATTTGCTGCAGACATTATCTCTTGCTGTGCCAAAACTGGGCTAGAAATGCAGTCACTGTCTGGTCCATTGTATCTGGAAATGCTTGTCATGATTTATTAGTGCTTTTACCTCAGGTAACTGTGTGCTAACATGATGAACTCTCCTGTTCTGTTGACAGAAGAGAAATCAGCAGGATGATGACTGAGGCATCCAGGAGCATCACACTGAGTTACAAGCAAGAAGTGTGGCTGAAGCTATATTTAGCATAACTATTAAGCTATTGATCTAAAGAAAACCTGCTTTTTATAGTCAGTGGAAGAACTGAAGAGCTGTTCATCCTCTGTGTCTGCTGGTTTATGTAAAAGTGTACGGAAGCCTTTCCAGAGGTCAGGGTGAGTCCCCACTGGATTCCAGGTGCAAGCAGCAGCACTCAGTGCAAGGAACAACTGCTTTGCCATCTCATAATGTGAAGATTGATGCCACTGAGCTATGCCTTCAGGCTCCTCGGTGATAAATATGGCCACATGTAATGCTTCTGCCATTATAGCATCAAACACTGAATCTGGGCACAGTCTTGCTTGAAGTGTAGTCACAGGGAAACAGGAATGTACATTTTTATCTGTAATGACCTTTTAAACCTGTAAATTGATTTTGTTTGGGGAGCACTGTTCATCCTTTATGTAAGAAATAAAGAAGTGGAGAAGGGACTTTCTCTTTGCTGTGGGGAGAATACTTCATCCCAGAGAACAGCCAGAGTTGTAGGGAACTACCTAAGGCTTGAAAATTTTGCACTTCTGGAATTCTAAATTCTGGATGCATTTCAAGTAATATTGTCACAGTAGCTAAAGCAAAGAAATATGTTAAATTTCTCCCAGTTTCATTCTGTTTTCATAGGAAAGCTTTCCTAAAACCTCTCTCTTTAACAAGATTGCACGTTAGACATCATCTGCGACTTCTGTAGTTAGACATAACATCAACCTGTGATGTTGTGTATGGACCAGTCTGGTGTCTTTTGTAGCACATCTCGGGAGCTTCTTCAGAAAATTATTATCTTTCAGCTCCTGCAATTCTGTATTCATCTGGTGGTACTTCATGCTCTTTGTGTAAGGGAAGCTTGGCTGAGTGTGGGAGCAGCAGAAGTTCCTGGTACCACCACGGTCGGAGGTGGGGCAGGACAGCTGCAGGTGGACAAAGCAAAGCTCTGGACATAGTGTTTGCTTGGCATCAGCCATCTGTCACCAGTGTGCACAGCTCCCTCTGAGCAAAGGGGCACTGAGAGGTGCTCAGTGCTGGGCACTAGTTCCTGTCTCAGCCCAGTGATGTGATCCTGTGTATGTGTACAAAGCTGTTCGTGTTTCCTTGCCTTGCTTCAGCTTGATCTGGTGTTTGCTTACAATCTGTTCTTGGACGTTAAACCTGAGCTTGGATGTTCAATTGTTACTTACTGTCTTTATTTAGCTTCACTTTTGAATGAAAACTTACTCTAGTTAAAGATTATGCAGCTTAAGAATCCCATTCTGCAGAACACACTGATGGAACAGCACAGATCAAAGCTCCCGGAGCCAGGACAGGCTCTGCCCTAGCTCTGAAGTGCTGGAACCTGCTTCTCCGTGGCTTTTGGTGCACAGATCAGATGATCATTAACTGGTGGCTGGGCTGTGCCCAGTCTTGCCCTGCAGCAGGACTCTGGGTGTTTCTCACCCTCGAGTGTAAATGTCTCTGAATCAGGTAGGAACTTCAGAGTGTGAAAAATCAACAAAGCTTTCCTTTTCCTTTTAGGAAGTTAAATTTCTACTTGGGAAGTTTCTAGCCATAGCTTAAACTGTTGTGATGCTCTGACCACACTTCCTTTACACAGATGATGCCCTGGAACTTCCAAGGGATTCATAAATGCTTCTGAACTACAGATTATTGCCTTTAAAAATGCAAAGTCATGATTCAAAGCTGTAAGGTAATTTCCTGCATCTTTCACATGAGCTCCACAAATTAACTTGCCATTGTCTCAGCTTTCTGTGCTGGATGCTGTCCAGGACAAATACAGTTCTGGGACCAGTTTGGTGGGACCTTGTGCTCTGTGGAGTGTCCCTGTAGCTGGGTAGGCTGGAGTTTTCCTCCCCTGTGATGTGCTGACAGATGCCAGGTCTGCATCCACGGATTGCTCACCTAAGCTCTCAAACACTGATGACAAACTTATTGCAGAGTTGCAGGAACTTAGCCTCCTTCCCCTGGGCTTAGTCTTAATGAAGAGCCATGGAAGGTAGTGGAGCACAAACACTGGTGCCATGTTCAGGCCCTGGAACAGAGATGTTCCCCACCATAAACATCTGCTCTACACAATCGAGTCCCACAAACTATCATATCCTTACAGTCAAACACAGTTCAGGTGTACTTGGCTTCTTTCCCTTTCAGGTAATCAGTGAGAGGGTTTTGTCTGCTAGAGTGAAGATTCCTCTTCTAAAATAATTTCATCCTGTGTGACCTTTTGATTTGCAAAAGGCTAATTAATAACCACTTTCCTCCTGGGCAGGTGAGGAAGAGCATGTTGATAGATTAAAACTGCATCAGATCAGTTTTACACTGACTGGTATTTAAGTCACTTTTAACTCTGTCTCAGGCCATCATAAGAGCAGTTTCTGCCTTTAGCCATCACAGAAATCTGAAAACACAGAATTTCAGTTGTTCAGGGCCTCGTTCACACAATTCAGTTACACAATCACCAAATAAGGGCCAACTATACACTATATATTCTTAGTTATGGTCCTAAAACACCACCTAAAGATACCTGGACTCTCATCTAGATGCCAGGCATGAGCAGTTTCCGAGGGAGGTAGTGTGGAGTGAGTTCCCAGAGCCCCTGTGCTTGCCAGGGTCTCCAGCAGTCTGCCTGTGCCCGATGGCTCCAGCAGGGAGATGCAGCTCCTGCACTGCAGCTCTGCCAGGAGAGCCAGGGAAAAGTCCTCCTTGTTTCACAGCCAAACCTTGTGAGGTTTAATGTCCCAGATGGACAGTGGGGATCAGGATTCCAGTGACTCCCTAAGTAGCAGCTCTTAACATGTCCTGGCTTAGCTCAGGATTTGGAACAACACTCCTGCACTTCTGGGCTGCAGAGTGTCTGATCCGTTCTCCTCTGACTCTTCTCTCTCCAGTGCTGTCCACATCTTTCCCACCAATCTCATGTTTGGCTAAATGCTAAGGTCAGAACCAGCAGCAGCATGGACAGTACTGATCTGAATTTTAAGTCCTCTGTTCACTTTTCCCTCCCCTTTACCAAGATGTTTTTGAGTGGTGCTCTATGATAGCTAAAACCAAGCGCAAACCCTAACTGTAGGGGAAAAATAGCTCTGGGGCTCAGTAAAACCAACAGCCCTTGCTGCTGGACACAGTGTGTGGCTTGGTAAAACCCACATGATGCATCTGATGCCCTTGGCCAGAATCTCAGGTGTCATTGCTGTGTACTCACCTGCTGCTGGTGCCCAGGATGCAGAAGAAAGGTTCCCAGTGCGGGGCAGTACAGGTGCCCATTCGAGCAACAGACACCGTCAGACACACCATTTTGGGTTCAGGCTGTCAGATGAGCATTGCCAGGTCAAAGAGATCGGTGTAGTGTGGAAATGGGTAATGGTATGGCACAAATATTTCTGGCACTTTCGTGCAGCATTACTGAACTGTGATACATATTTTTGGCCCCGAGAAGATGGGCCTAAAAGTGCAAGAGAGAAACAGCCCACAGTGCTTTTGCTTTGTGAGGGATACGTGGTGATGCTGATGTTCAGAGCTTAGTAAGTCTGTCTTATCAAAAGTAAGACAGGTTCCTGTCTTAGCTTCTGCTCTGAAACTCCATGTCTGACAGACTGTTGCACTTCAGTGCTGTAAATGAATTATTCATTGTTGCTGGGACTGTGAGATCCAAGAGACAGAATGAGACAACATGTTAAGCTAAAACGTCTGCACACCAGTGTAAGGAATACACAGGAGGAACTCAGTGTCAATACATGTCAGAAATGATTGATGGGCATTGCAGAGCCTTTGGGAGAGAAACTGCAGCTCCAGAAAGAGACCTGTGGTTCAGAAAGGGCTAGAGAATCATAAATAGTGCCTGTATTTCCAGAGCTTGGGAATCAGAGGATCGCTGAATGGTTTGGCTTGGAAAGGACCTTTAAAGGTCATCTAGTCCTTGATCACTCCAGGGGTGAGGCATCCTCACCTTCTCCAGGCAACCTGTGCCTGTGTCTCACCAACTTCACCATGAAGAATTTCTTCTTGAGTGTCATTACAAACTGACCCTTTCAGTTTAAAGCTGCTGCTTCTTGGCCTGTCAGTACAGGCCCTGAAAGAAGTCTCTGTGTTTCCTATAAGCCCCTTCCAAGCACTCAAAGGTTGCAATATTTGCCTCCCTGGAGTGTGCTCCACCTTTCCTCAGCTCTCACACCTTTCCTCGCAGCAGAGGTGCTCCAGCCCTTTGGTCATTGCTGTGGCCTTCCCCTGGACCTGCTCCAGCAGCTCCGTGTCTCTCCGGTGCTGGAGACCCAGAGCTGGAGGCAGCACTCCAGATGGGTCTCCTGAGAGCACAGCCCCCTGCCACGCCACTGCTGCTGCAGCCAGGGCATGGTGGGCTCTCTGGGCTCCAGCACATACTGCTGCTTGTGCTCCGAGTATCTCCAGACAGTGAGTCTGGTGCAAAGCAGAGGAATTCAGTACTTGTGTATCTGTTGGGAAAGTACCCAACGTCAGGAAGACCTGAAAAGACAAAGAGTTGATGGAGTTTTCCAGGGCACAGTTTGTATTTGAGAGGGCACAGGGTGTTATTCCAGTTGCTGTTCTGGGTTGCAGTCAGGCTTACCTGAAGTGGTCAAACCTTTTAAAGGCAGAGGTAACTCAGGTGAAAGTGGCTGTGCAGTTGCCATTTGTTGCTCTGGAGGAAGCAGGAGATGAGAGAAGCAGAGTAAGGGCCTCCAAAGGCAGGTGACGTGTGGGAGTTGCTGCCTGGGTCCATTTGGGACAGGCTGGGTGGGATAACTGCAGAGGTGACTTTTAATGGCCCAGCACAGTCTCCTGCTGCCCAGGGAACGGGCACAGTGAGGGATTGTGGGGATCAGTCACAATGAAACTGCACAAGTCTGAAGGAAAGGCACATGATTAAGTGTGAAGAGATGAGGGGAGGGAGAAAAAAGGATGGATGATTCACAGAAAACTGATGCAGTTAAT